CTGAAAGATGACTTGACCATTTCTATATTATAGTAAAAAACACAACAGTTGGTCGCTGGGTGCATTTAGAGGCATTGTAGAGTCAAAATAAACACGTATCCTGTTAGGGGTAAGAAGAGGTCAGCACAAAGCAGAAGTAGAGGGTTCAGAGAAATGGGTACTGCTCTCTTATAAATGCACGGATCATTACCAAGCTTGGAGGACAGTTGTATGAGTGCATAGTCGTCTTTGCAGCTCGCTATTCGCAATATGGAACAAAGTTTGAAAAGTCCGGTCTTTAGGCATTAATTTTGACCAAAGCACAATCTAAAAAAATCAGCTCTCACATTTTACTTTGCATCAATAATTCAGGGCAACATAAGTATAAAATGTAAAAATCAATAGGTTAAAATGCGTATCAAACTACATCTAAAACATATTTTTACACTTTCTCGAAAGTATCTGAATGCTCCATACCCTGATAGCGAAATGCACTGACGGTATTGTTTTTGCTCATTAAAAAAAATGAAATCGCGCTGAGATCGAGCTAACGTGAAAACAACAGGCTAACTTTCTAGCCAAAGTCCCGCTCGATCATTTATGACCTTTTCAACTTGCGAGTGCCATAAAAACTCTTATTAAAATAAAACAAAACAAAAATCTAAAACATAGGATAACTCAGGACAGACGTGACTATAGTAATAATAGTATACATGTAGCCCAAGACAGAAATACATATACAGAGCTTTTGTTGATGGCCCATACAAGGGTTGAAAAAGGATGATAGCGATAGTGTTCGTTATACAGTCCAGTCCATTTACAAAAGCCTCTGTTTTTACAGGAACTTGTAAGGTGATAAACATTATCCACGTTTTTTCCTCTATAAGTAAGTTAAGTAATAGGCCTATACACATGTATAATTCTGAACCTGGCTATAAAAGGCTAAATTTGCGCAACCTCGGATATAACAGTGATCTTGTAGCGCATAAACTTGCTTTCGATCCGTCAAATTAAAAAAATTTGTCTCAACCAAAACAGTTCGCCTGATTGTATGATCGCTTGCCTAAACATTCAAACACATGCCGCCCTCTTCCCCACTCCCCTTAATGTTGGGCCTGAAGAAGAAGAAGAAGAAGAAGAAGAAGAAGAAGAAGAAGAAGAAGAAGAAGA